TTTTTAATGCATTAATGTCATTCCTTGAAGAGTAATGCTATTCATAGTCGTTCACTGCAGCAATCGCCCTATGTGACACACACATGTCATGTAGTTATTTAATGCATTAATGTGGTAATTTTTTTAAGACATTAATGTATTAAATACACACTTGACATGTGTGTGTCACATAGGGCGACTACTGCAGTGAGCGACTGCAAATAACATTATTCTTCCTAGAATATGACATCCGTTGACTAGGATGTACCAAGAGAGAATTTACGTGTAATATTTGACTGTTGGTCTCCCCTTGTTGTTTTTACATGATTTCATATTTCAAGATTTGTGTTAAGTGTTTGTGGTTTTTTCAGATTTTCTGAAGAAAAATTATGAGCATGCAATGTCCAACATCCAGAAGCTTAGGAGTAGAAAGTGCATTGTCATGCATGGGATTGACGCTACCAAAGTTGCAAGCCCTCAATTGTTTGGAGGAATGACATTTGATCGGATAATTTACAACTTTCCCTTTGCTGGATTTTTCAAGGACTTATCTCGAGAGGCTCAATTAAGGTCAGTCAGTTATCATTATATTTTTTTTATAATTCTTTCGGTTAATGACTGTTTTTTGACCAGTAAGATCATTTAAGACATCTTTTCTCTTTTTCTATAGAAAGCATAGAAGGCTCGTGAGTTTGTTTCTTAAGAATGCAAAAGAGATGATAGGCGAAAATGGTGAAATTCATATTTCCCACAAAACCAATGCTTTTCATATAGAATGGAAGTTAGAATCAATGGCTTCTTCCCACGGGCTTATGCTCATTGAGGCTGTGGAATTCGATCAATCTGATTACAAAGGTTATAAGACAAAGCGTGGTTTTGGGGGTGACATGAATTTCAATTGTTACCCTAGTAAAACCTACAAGTTTGGTCTTAAAAGGGCGCAAGTTCAGCTGCTAAGTTAGTTACTTTATTCGAAAGAAACAAAAAGAGCACATTGAAAATGTTATGTAAATATTATCTCTAATTCGCGAGTTATTAAACAATGGGACAATGTTTGAATTTGGTGTAGTCTTCTAATTATGTCTAATATGTTGAAAGTTGACCTATTTTGTGA